CTAAACCCCCAAACCCTTAAATCCTATATTATTCCCACCCCGGTATTAAACCATAAGAAAAGCTCAGCCCAGAAGTTTCAAGCCCTACCCCACCGGGTCTACGAGACCGCATGAAGACTTCGAATGCCGGGCCGCGATGCAAAACCTTATAAAATCCTTAAGTGAGGGGGGGGGGGGGGGGGGTCANNCCGTTCCCTAAACCCTAAACCCTAATTAAGCCTTACAAGCCCTAAACCCTGAATCGTAAACCCTAAGCCCTAAATCCTAAAACCCAAGCCCTAAACCGTAAACCCTAATCCCTAAATCCCAAACCTAAACCCGAAGCCCTAAACCCTAAACCCGTACCCCTATCATCCCTCATTCTCCGTAGTGCTCCCTCCAGAACCCTAAACCCTAAACCTACACCCCAAACCGAATCGCAATGTGAATCAATCATGAGCCCTAAACCGTAAACCCTAAACCGTCTGGGGAGCAGAATCGCCATGTGAATCATGAGCCCTAAACCCTACCTGTGGCCCACAAAACCTACCCTTTTTAAGGAACTATATATAGAAACCATAGTAAGGAACCTTAAAAAGGTAGGCTTTTTCGGCCACGGGTAAACCCTAAACCGTCCGGGGAGCAGAATCGCCATGTGAATCATGAGCTGTACCCCCAGAGTCGCCATGACTGGCCAGGCGAAGACGGAGCTGATCGGCTGCCTTGGGGTGTGCTTCATCTAGGGCTTTGGTGGTTAGGGTTCAGGGTTCATTTTGGTTCAGGGCGGGACTTTGGGGGCTTGCGGGTTGAGGGTTTAGGGCTTGAGGATGTTGGCGATTTACGGTTTTTGATTAGGAAACCTCTTTAGGATACGGTAAACTATCGAAGGAGCTCGCTAGCCCATTCCCTGGCCGCTACAGTAGCGGCTCGTGCTTGGGATTTAACTATAGGCGCCTTGATAATTTGAAGATATTGGGAGGGGGCGTAGAACCCCAATGATAAGGCATGATGATCATTATAAATTATAAATATGCAGGCTTCTGGAAATTGAAAATATCAAGAAGGTCCCTCTTGAGAGAGTCATAAGTAGGGTTAGGTCTCCCTAATACTACGTCTAAAAGAAATAGGCTTTAGGGTTCAGGGCCAGGCAAACCGCATTGTTTCAGAGGGAGCAGCGCCTTGTATTAGCGTCTTGACGGTCCATGCATGTAGGGTTGTATGTAGGGATCGGAATACTTGGGTGAAGATCTGAATGTATTATATAGCGCAATTATACGTGGCAGGATCTTTATTGCTAGCTTGCCCTTACTAAGAAGCAATCAGCATGCGTATATATATATATACACATGACTATGTGTATAATTATGTATACAATTATATGCCTATAACTTGCAAATATTTATAAGTATGTATCTGATTATGCATATAACGATATATATATATATACATATGTATAAACAATTCTAGATAGTTATGTGTATATATACATACATACATACATACATACATACATACATACATACATACATACATACATACATACATATATATATATAACATATGTATATATATATATATATATGCATGCTGTCACTACAATCACGAAGGAGCACTGCGTATATGCACTCACCAAAACCCGAATAAAAACCCAACTATATCACTCCCTTTAGATGATAAGCACAAAGCTACGTGCACTGTTGGAGGTTATTGTAACTTCCCTATATATATCCTTTAATCAGTTGGGGGCGTTGAGAGTTTTTCTGAGCTTTGGCAGATCGGTGATCTAATTCTGATTAGTTTTAGGCTTTGGGGTTTAGGGCTTAGCGCGGGGATCTCTTTTAAGCTTAGTTGGGTTTCAGGGTGCGGTGTTGATGTTACGACTCAGGGCTTGCATTTAGGGTCTTACAATGAAGCCCCCCAAAAATAACGTGCATTACGGTTTAGGGTTTAGGGGTTAATCTTTATTGCAAGGAGCCTTTAACAGGGGCCCCTACTTTCCTGGCACTTCTAGGGACCCTGAAAAAAGGAACCCCCCCCCTCATTTTCTGACACGTGCGCAACCCGACCTCTTTTCAGAGCTTCTGGTAAATAGCACTTCAGAAAGGTTGGCTCGGAGCACCGTCACCAATTAATACCCCTTGCTCCATCAAACCTTAAACTCTGTAGGGCTTAAGGTTTGGGGGGGGGTTAAAGCGTATGAGGCTATTAATCCCAAAGCCCTAAACCCCAGACCCTAAACTCCAAACCCCAAACCCTAAGCCCTAAGACCTAAACCTCTCCACCCTTCTGGGGCGATGGAGCTGAGATGCTGCCTTGCCAGCTGCTTTGCAGGCGCACTCCTGGAGACCAGAAAGAAGCCTCGTAGCTGCAGTTCAGGGTTTAGGGGGCTTAGGGTTTAGGGGTTTAGGGGTTTAGGCTTAAGGTTTTAGGGCTTAGGGTTTAGGGGTTCAGGGTTTAGGGTTTAGGGTTTAACCCTAAACTCTAAGATACCGCGAGCATCGCAAAAAATGGGGATGAACAAACACGGTTCCTGATAGTTGTAAAAGCTCAGGGTACTTCGTTTCGGGTCTTGGATGGTCTCGCACAGCCTTGTCGGGGATTTTAGTTGCGGCTAATTCAGGAAACTGATTAAGACACCCTGGGTTTTTATTCGGGTTCTTGATATGAATCCTAATGCTTTGGGGTTATAGGGCCAGGGTGTCTACATCAGGTTCCTACATTAAAAGGGATTCTTGACATTCGGGCTCCCCAAAGGCGAATTCAATCTCACAGGGCCGAAGCATGCAAGGGAACACTATATTAAAACTTCCTACTCTTGCGTGCGCGAGCGCATGCTTGCGTGCCCTTTCCTAGGTGGGAGAGCTTCCGTTGCTAGGACCCAAAACGGCGGAGGGTTTTTTTTTTCCCGAGGTGCGGCCAACCCTGTTTTTT